AGCTGCCTCTGCCCCCTGAACTGCCGATCTTGGGTTCCACTTCCTCCCCTTGGTTGGATTTGGAACCACACTCCTAACTACCACGTCCTTACTCCCAGATAACAACAGCTCTGTCCTGACCTTGGTACATTTAAATTCCTCTGTTAAACTATATACTGGCAGCTGAAGTATCCCTTTTCCATACAATGCAACACTACTTAGGCACCTAGGAGCACCCAACCACTTCCTAATATAGGAGCTAACCAACCTTTCAATTTTCTCCACTATGGATATTGGAATTTCATAAATTGACAATGGCCACATTAACCTAGGATATAGCCCAAATATAAATATATATAAATATCTCCTGCCTCAGGAGCTCCCTGAGAGGCCTCCATTTTTAACTTGACTGCCCTCATTGCTGGCATCTCCCAGCAGGTTCCTTGGTTGCTATCTAAACAGGCACAAATGGCCTTCAGACCACAAGTACTTTGTCACCACAAGTACAGCACTGAAGATGGTCCACTCTGGTTCCATGTCCCCAGCTTGCATAGATCTACCTCATTACCTGATCAAACTTTACACCAAGTGATGATCAGTTTAAAGCTCAGCTGCTCTGTGTTTGACAAAGTCAATCATAGGTCTTTTGGCTGAAGGTCTTCTTGTATCAGATACAGCTGAACACTGAACCACCATATGATTTAGAATAGTGTTCATTAAGTAGTACAAAGTTCAATAGCAAAGCTTCACTGAAGCTGTAATTGGGAAGGCCGTTCCCCTCATTCACCCCTCTGGGTTTTTTCAGCCATTACCCACCTGGGGCATTAACTTTCCTGAGCAGAAATACAAAGTCGCCTCGGGGGGTACCCTGTCTAGGACCCATACCAGAGACTCTAAATTATTGTTCCATGCATAGGAACAGACAACAGTCGGAGCCTTTCTCTCATCAGCCTGCAAGTTGCATAGAGGAAACCCTCCTCTTGTTTGCTCAAAGTCAAACAGCGACACACGTGTGAGGTCTTATGAGTATCACTCCACCTCTGCAACACCTCTCATCCTGGGCAACTGTGGAAAAGCAGGAGAATAGGGACGAGGAGGCTGTTTCCCTCGTTTTGGAGAGCCAAGCCCATTTCTGTTGTTCATGCTAGCTAGCCTGAAGGATCAGAGCATTTTAGGAACAAATCAACATCTCAAGGCTGCCGCTGTACAACAAAATCTTCTCCATCAATGATGAAATACACTTCACTTAGTGTGTTCAATACTTTTTCCCTGTATTATTCAGCTTGCACTTGGACTGAAATGTCACTTTTAGTATTTATAGTTTAATTGAGTTGATACCAACATCTAAATGTGTGTAAATGAAAGAAATGTTGATGCGGTGAATACTTATTTCCACCACTGTCATTATGAATATTAGATTTCATTTTTGCCAATAGATCCCCCTAAATCCTACTCCCTTTAAAAAATAACTAATTCATTGTTAACAAGCAACCAGCCTACAGTATGGAGGAATTTACTGATAAACAGCTGCTAGTTCAGCCCCGGGTCTGTTGTCACAGTAGCTGCAGGGTTCACTTTCGACAAAATCCCCTAATTCTAGACACTTAAGACACTCGTCAGTCGCTAACTTCAGCAATCCAGCTAAGAAGTCAAAATGCAATTAACAGAACCTCAAGTTACCAGGAGTCTTATTTCTATTTTGAATGAGACTGGCTGCAGCCCCCCACCTAATTAAGCTGTGCTGCGATTAGTGACTGTAATGTGATTATTTACTTGTGAATTGTAAAACTGTACACCAGGGGTTCTCAACCTGTTGTAACTTAAGGCCCACTCCTGATTGTTAAGAAATATGCGAGGACCACCTTCCCACATAGATGATGAAAAGAAAAAAAACACTACATGACCGAAAGGGAGAAAAAAAAATGTGGCTGTAAATATGTGTAATGCCACTGTCAGCTGTTGTTGCTGTGATGTACCTGAAGCCCATTCTTTAGGAGATATTCTTTTGGCTTCCAAACACATCCCGAATGCTTTGTTCTGAAGTGTCTGGAGCTTTAATGGTTTTAGCGCTTCATCTGGCAGATTTTACCACATTCAACACACTGTGCTGTCAGCTCAGCATCACTGCCCAATATTATGAATCCAAATTTAATGTATGGAGGGTCACATTTCCTCACCTCCACATGCTTTGGAGCTGTTTTTGGCACAGGGTCGTCTCCCACATTACTTTTTCTTTTCAAAATCCAGTTAATTTTTTTTGTCACTGCATCCCATAAAAAGATAGGTACCTATCAGTGGCAGAACATGTTTCTCTGCCTGATATTGTGTTGTGATTGGTGTGATGATGTTCAAACATAACTGGTCATTGAAATCATACATCTTAATGTGATGGGTTTTTTAATTTATTTTCGTAGTCTTGAGCACATTAAGAAATAAAAATCAGTGGCTGTGTATATTATCGTTTAATTTAAGTATTATTTTAAACTAACAAATTGGCAATACCTCTAGATGGCACTAGATGGCTCTCTTATGCCCACCAATAGGTCACAGCCCATTGGTTGAGGGTTGCTGCCCTGCACTACCTGTCACTGAAAAATATAATCACATTACTGTAGTGCGTTATCAAGAAATGTATTATGGCCCACTGCACACAACACATTCCTAGATTTACTTTTTTTTTTTTTTTAACACTGGTAAGCTTGTGTTTTCCCCTGGCGATGAAGTGTGTGATGTAGGTCTAGATTTAATCCCTGCTATAAGATGAAACCATAAATATTAACTACAGCATATCAACTTCCTATTAGATCTGTATAAATAAATAATAAATATTAACTAAGGTACTCACAGTTGGTGAAATCCTTTGTTGCTGAATACAGGGTGCTTGACAAATATATTATTACTTGTAATATGTATATTACTATATAAGATATTTTTGCCCCATAAAAAAGACAACACCAGGGCGTCGGTAGTGTAGTGGATAGTACCGGC